TATTATTATTATTATTATTATTATTATTATTATTATTATTATTATTATTATTATTATTATTATTATTATTACTATCATTATTATTGTTATTATTATTACTATCATTATTATTGTTATTAATTTACATCGTTTGTAATAGGGATTCTTTGGAAATTCAGTATCAGAAATTCATTATCATTGTGGACTCCTTCAAATCCGACGTAATCAGCGTTCAAAATGGCGAGGACAAAACATGAATTCAGGATTTGAGGTTACCATTACATATTCAGGCAAAATTAAGTCTAATAGTTCAACTCGATCGGGTAGTTCATCACTTAGTGAAGAATCACCATGTCATGAAGTAACAGTTGGACATAATATTATCGGAATTACACCAGATTTCCAAATGACATCACGACTTGAACGATTATTCACGGATAATTATGAAACATTGTCTAAAGGGCTCGATCTAGTTCAAGCGATGATGCAACAATATAGGGACTATTATAAAGACGAAGCGGTTAAAAAAATGGAAACATTATCATATGGATTCTTTATAAATGTATATGATAATCCATCAATACCATTAGAATCATTACCAGCATTATTGATGGCAACCGAAACAAACGAAAAAGTTCGAGCTATTCCAGAAACCGAATATCCATCGCTTATTTATTTATATGAAAGAATGAGAATAATAAATTTATCAAGAGTTCATCAATGGTGGTACCTATTTTGGGAAGATCTTTGGAGAAAGAATCAACAAGAAATTGAAGATTTGAGAAAATATCCACAAGATTTTTCACCAATTTATAGAACTAGTTTATGTTATAGACCAATGATAAGGTTAGAGTTGGAAGAATTTTTACAGAAACGTGGTCTTTGGAAAAATGAAGGACGTGATGGGTTCTTGCATTCAGGAATTTTAAATAGGATTTACTTGTATTTGAATAATGTGGTATTTGGAAGAAATTCAAAATCAAAACGAAGGAATAGCAAAGGTGGAGTGGTGGAGGAAATGCCGAGAACATGGAGTATAATAAAAGGAAATAGTATTGATAGTAACGAGTATACATTACGTGAAAAAGATGTGAAAACTATAAAAGATCGAATGATGATAATGAAAGATTTGATGTTGAGACGGGAAACAAAACTTTCTAAAACTAGACCTTTCTTTGTATTAAATGATGAATATGTAGATATTGATGATGAATATGATAGTGAAGAAATTAATAGTTCTAGTGATGGTGAAACATGTATTAATTTTTAATTGAATTATGTGAAAAAAAGAAGAGTTTGTATTTTTGCTTTTCTTTTTTTTAATTTATTTAATTAGTTTTTTTTTCTTTTTTTTTTTTTGGTTTATTTAATTTGGATTAATGGGTGGATTTAGTGACATTTTGATTATAGTTATTTCCATTAGTGGCGAACTCTTGATCTCATATATAATAGTTTCATAATAATTTGATTGTCTT